TAAACCCTAAACCCCCGAACCCCTGAACCCCTAAACCCTAAACCCTGAGCAGCTCTTTATGCAAAAAGGGACTTCCAAACTTTAGGAACTCGAAAGGAGTCCCAAGATTATGGGCCTGATCTTCGGCTCTGAAGTTTCAAAGGATTTCGGATAGCTTCGGTTCTCCAATGTTTTAGGATTCAGGGTTTTAGAGCTTTAGGGTTTAGGGCTTTAGGGTTTTACGGTTTAGGCTTTAGAGTTTAGGGTTTAGGGTCCAAAGACATGCACCCATCATGGGGACACACATTCATGCGAGGCTCCAGCTGATGAACCCTAAACTCTAAAACCGATAATGTGGACCCACCATTCGTCTCCCCTTCGCACGGATTGATATAAAGGGCCCTTGAAGAAAGCGGTGTAGTCATCAGGGTCAACATTATTGAAGACCTAACGATGAAGTCACCTCACTCGTCCTTGCTTAGAGCTACTGTAGACCCCCGGTCAACAAACCTTCTTCCGTTCAGCGGCACGATAACAGAGATCCTTATACCAAGATCCTTGAAATGGGTTATAAGCGGGATCCTGATGTCGTGAAGACCCTTGAAATGAAAAATAATCGGAATCCTCATAGCACGAAGACCCTCAACCCTAAACCCTAAACCTTAAACCCTAAACCCTAAACCCCTAAACCCTAAACCCTAAACTTGGGGAACCACTGCGCCTTGCCCGGGGTTTAGGCACTGGGGAGGCATGATGTCAGTTGAGCAGTCATCTAACTCGCATGGGCTGCATGCAGACGTGTTCTGCTTCCAAAGGCATTCTGTAGTGTAGGAGCCTTAATAATTAGAATAGGGTGGGATTCAGGCTCAACCACACTGTGATTTTTTCAAAAGCAAAGCAAGGGCCTGAATATAGGGGCCTCATTAGAATAGATCTTTGGTGTCTATCATACTTTAACTTTAATAAGGAGCCCCCAAAATAGTCTTGGTAATTATTGAGGCCCCTGACCCTGTAGTAGGGTCTTATATACCGAGGAGATCGAATCCCTCGCAGGGCTTACAGCTCGGCGCCATCTGCTACCCAGCACACAAAACAGATCGAGCCACGAAAGCCGGAAAGGAAACAGAACCTTAAAACCCGAAACCCTAAACCCTTAACCTTAAACTCTAAACCCCTGAAACCCGAAACCCTAAACCCGAAACCCTAAACCCGAAACCTGAAACCCTAAACCCGAAACCCTGAACCCTAAACCCTCAACCATGGCCACGACGGCACCATGCAACCGCAAGGAGAATAGACAGAAGCCGCGTGATGGGAACAAAGAATAAGCAACTGACAAATACAGGGGCCCCCTTGGAAAGTTCAGGGTTTAGGGCTTAGGGTTTGGGGCTTAGGGCATAAAGGACAAGAAAGCACAAGAAAGCCGAGATCTCCTCATGAAACAGTGAAGTGGCGGCCACAGCAAGCGTGTGATACGACTTCCACGACCTTCCTGAACATTAGGTGAGGCAAGTAGGGCAAAAAGAATTTTTCCAGAGGACCTACTATGACGTAGTGGAGCGAGCTAAATGGCTGCAGTGCCAGGTTCCCCCTTCGAATACCCATCCCATGTCTGTCAAAGCCCCAAACCCTACAGCTCAAACCCTCAACCCAAAACCCAACATCAATGAAGCAAGAAATCTTTACCCTAAACCCATAGACCCTTAACCCGAGCCCGAAGCCATGTCTCTCATAGGTTTTAGTTTGCTTTGTAAGTCCTTATTTATCATAGACCCCACTTTCCTAAACCCTAAACCCTTAATTAGTATGCCGGCCTGGATGCCCACACGCTGCACCCTCGACCGCGGCGCGGACGTCGGCGCTGGCCGTCGGGCCGCCGTGGTGAAGGCAACCACGGGGCGCTGCACAAGAGACGCGATCCGAGTTTAGGGTTTCGGGTTTAGGGTTAAGGGGTTTAGGGTTTAAAGTTCAGGGTTTTGGATTTAGGGTTAAGGGGTTTAGGGTTTAAAGTTCAGGGTTTTGGGTTTAGAATTTAGGGGTTTAGGGTTTAAAGTTCAGGGTTTTGGATTTAGGGTTTAGGGGTTAGGGGTTTAGGGTTTAGGGTTTAAGCTTTAGGGTTTTAGGGTTTAGGGTTTAGGGTTTAGGGCTTAGGGATTAAATTGCTTTGGTAGGGCCTCCGGTTATGCCGCAAATTCTTGCTGTCATTCATGTTCAGAACTTGGGACAGTCCGATCCCCACTGGGTCTGTGGTGCGCACGTGCATGCGGAGCTGCATAGGCAGGCAAAAGAGTGCAAGATTGTACTACATGGCATTTTCCAGCGCCTACTGTATGCAGCACACTACCAGAAAACAATCCAGACTACTTGTCTGTTTTCGGCATGCTCACCAGCGTCATCCTCACCACGGTCATCATAATCGTCGGCATCGCGAATATTAGCCTCAGCGTTCTCATTCTCGGTAACATCATAGTCAACCGCTTGCATCATCGTTTCCACAGGTTGTGACCTCCAATCCGAAAAGCATGCAAACAGCTCAAGTGCCATAGTCCGTACACAATGCAAAGCTTCTAAGGGCTCGGCCTGTGTGGGTTTCGGACTTCCGAGTAAAGGCCCAGAACAACAAAAGCGAAGACGAAGCTAAAGCAAACCGATTCGGCAACCCTGACAGAAGGGGAACTACACCCTCAATCTAACCTTGTCGCCCCAAGAACCCCAAACCCTCAGCCCGAAATCCACAACCCTGAACCCTAAACTCTAAACC